ACAAAGCATCTTTGCCACTGTACAAAAAATGCGGCACGTTACTATGCCCATTCTTGAGATATGGTCTTTCGAAAGTAGTCTTGAAATTTAGTTCAAAGCATGAGAACCCGATCTGAGCTCATACATCTTGCAAGAAAAGCCGCACAAGTGGGTAATTTAAAACAAGCCTTCTAGGAAACTTGTTGCTTTATCTACCGGTGTTGAATGATTTGCCCATAAATGCAGATTTTTAGAGCTACGTATTTCCAAAGACTGAACTTTTCGCTCATTAACACATTGACGACCGCTTGACACACATGGTGTGTCAAGCAATGACTACCGTGTGGGACCGCTTGACACACCATGTGTGTCAAGGCTTGAAATTACTTCAAATAGAAAGACTAGTAATAACAAATTATTATCAGTACATTAACCTTCATGATAAAGAAGAGAGATCAATTATTTTCCACACATAACCGGTTTCGGGGCTAAGAACTAGACCGGATATGTGACTTCCTTGGTGCCCCTTCATCAGTAGTTCCCAAGGAAGTGCAAAAGAATGTAGGATGGATGAGTATTAGAGAGAATAAGGTAACAGCCACACAGCAAGTCCAATCAAGTAACAATAATCAGTCAAGAAAGTATCCACTAGTACATTTTGAATTTAAAATTTTCCCGCTCAAAAGATCACTGGTTTGTAGAGCATACTAACTAATACCAAACTAACTCGCCTATTTTATGGGATTAAAGCGAACAGATGGATAGAAGTCCGACTGGTATTGCATTCGGTGTGTAAATCTAGCTGTCTATATTACAAAAGAACTGAAGGCTTCCCTTAGTTCGTGAACTAACGGTAAGAAAAGGGATACCTCAAAACCATACTTGCGTAAGATGTAGGGGCGATGTATCAATGATTTGCAAAACGTGCTAATTAGCTCTTTTTCATCCCATCCATTGTATTTGTTGATAACTCCCAACTGTAATATTCTATTTTTAAAACTAGGGTATTCAGTACAAGTCCTATATATTCTTATTATTTCTCCTACCAAGGTATTCTTCAATATGTACCTAGGTATGTCAGAACACCAATGTGGATATCTTATAACTCTGAAGTTATAGTCATCCGTTTTGTTATACAAGCTAATACTAACGCCATCTGTTCTAATCTTTATGTGCAAATCCAAAAAGGTAGCCTCTTTGACGTTAGTATTAGTCTTGTCTATCGTCAAAGAACTGTGATAAATATCATGCAATGAATCCTCAAAAGCCTTTACATTTGCTGACAGATGTAAAATATCATCTATGTATCTGTATGTGTTATTGAAAGGAAGTGTGTTTGCCCTAGTTAAGAAACCTGTTCTACTTTTAATGTAATTAAATTCCATGTATGCTAATGTTAGGTCAGCTATTTGAGGACTACAAGATGCTCCCTGTGGAATCCCTTTGACTTGACGATAAATTCTACCCAAATAGCAAAGGTAACTAGAGTTAAGTAAGGAATCTATCATGTACATTATATCCTCTATTTGGTAGTAAGTACCCGCTACCACATCTGAGTTAGTATAATTCGCTTTGTTCTTATACAGTCTTATGTATTTATATCCTTTCATACAGAGTGAAAGAAGTTTACTAAGACTGCCTCTAATCACTGAATGTGGCAGACTAGTGAATAGGCTAGAGAAATCTGCAGAGTAAATTTCAATGTCACTACTAATCTTACGTATCTCTTTAGATACCACAATGCTGTTTTCTATAGCCCAAAAAGGTTTGATTTTACTTCTATGATATATGACGTTGCAGTAATTATTGAAATGTCTTCTTACATGTGTTAGGATAATAGTTAGAATATTCGAAAGTGGCTTGATTGTACTTCTTTTAGCACCCGTGATGAACCTGAACTTTATCGGTACTTTGTGCATTTTGGGTATACCATAAATTCTAGGTACTTCGTGGTAGTTACTTCTTCTGATGTCTAGCCCTTTTAAAATATTTTCATGAATTTTTTCAACTTCTTCTATTCGAAGTGTAGTTAGCTCGTAAGTACTTCCGTCGCTGTCTTGCTGTTCCATTTCTTTTTGCATGAAAGACAAATATAGCTTTTTGCAGGTGAATGCAAAGTTGGAATTAGCTTTGTCTATTGGCGTGACTACGAAATTATTATGTAACGCCTGCAATGCCTTCCTATCGTAACATTCAACTCTTACCAGTTCGGGATCATATAAGCTGTACAGTTTTGGCTTTAATGTTTTATTTATTTCTCTTAGTAGGGTTTCTATTAGTTGCAGTTCTGTGTATGTATCAAACCCTATCATAATCTTGTACTTATGTGTTACTTTTCTTATGAGTTCATCAATGGTACTGATGATCTCTTGTTTAGTGACCATATTATGTACACGATATTTAGTCCCTTTTTTGAAAAGTTCTCTCAACTTTGTATCTGTGACTATATTCAAGTTTCCTGTGCATATATGTCCAAATTCTGGGTCAATAAAGTCTGGATACTTATGACAATTGCATTCTGCTGTCATTATTCTTCTGAGGTATTCTGAGGTTACAGTTCTCAAAAAACTGTTATAATTGCATAAATACACTCCTATTGGTTCTCTGAGCTTGTACCTAATCTGTATTTTATATTTGTCCAGTATTCTATTAGCGTATGGTAGAGCGCTATGAAGTATTCGCCCTATTTTCTTGCTGTTGAATATTCTGTTAAGTTGCAATCTCTCTAGAATCCCTCCCAGATATGTTATCGTTATAGGTATTCTGATATAATCATTATTTTCCTGTAGTACTTGTTTACCCCAAAACGGTTTCGCAAGTAGGCCATATATTTTCAACTTCAAATTTGTCTCATATTCCAAGAACCTTTCTTGGAATGTAAAGTCAATCAATTTATCTATATCAAACTTATTCAAACTTCTAAAGTACTTGTATAGTTCATAACTTTGTAACTTATTGATGTTATCTATTATTTCATCCATTCTATTGGGACAATTTGACTTCTTGCGTGACCTTCTTCTACCTCCTCTTACTCTTTTCCTCCCAATAGGACATCTGAAGTATGGATGCTCCTTCTTTTCTAACGGATTTATGTCATCCGAGATATTTCCATATCCTTTAATTTGATCGTTAAATCCGAAAGGATAGGCTGTGATCATCATCTTGATCCATTTCAATTCTTTGTCTCTGAGTTCGATCTTAGCATTTTCTTGTTGGAGGGATTCTACATGATCCAAGATGTCAATAGTGTACTCCGTTGGGGGGTGTTTGGTCTGCTTAAAGTGCTGCACCATGTATGTGTTAAGCGTGAAATTACGAAAGCTTCTTCCATGTTGACCAATACGTTTTTTGAGTTGTTGTGTAGTCTCGCCCACATATTGCATATTACATGTTGAACATGTTATCAAATAAATAACATTCCTAGATTCACAATTAGCTAATTTTGGTTTGTTTGTTCTGATAAAGTAATTAGTAGTGGAACATTTAACTTTGTTATCAAAATTTATTCGATCACATGTATTACATTTCTTTCTTTTACATCTTGTTCCTATATTGTCACTAAGTTCAGAAGCTTTGGCTACTCTGCTATGTCTACTTGTTTCATTATCGGACAAGGACAACAATGAACATGTATTGTTTACATTGTTTAGATTGTTAGCAGACCTGAATCCATTGAGTCAGAGGCGGTCTCTCCTGGACTCTTATGCGGTTTCCTTATCGGAGGGTATTTCCTCCTTGGCTAGGGCAAGCCTCTTCATCGCTGGGGAGCGCTACCCGTGGTGCAAACCGCACTGGATATGTGATGCCCAACACCACGCCAGGGTTCTCCCGAATTAGTAATATAAGCGCTGTGTTTTATTGAGTTAGTAGCACAGCGATAATTTAATATCTACTCCCAGTATGCTAATTTACCAAAAGGTAGTGACTATTTATAAAGTTTCCAACTATTCTTGCTCTTAATGTTGTGTTGTTTTATGTTGTAATTGTTGAGTGCATTTGAATAAATTGCAATGAATCAATGTTCTTGATGTTTAAGGACTTGTCCTTGTGATATTCTTATGATTTGTTACTGTTGGAATAATTTGCTGAAACTTATTTACATGTTATTGGTGGAACATGGACCACTCAGATCATGAATTCACTTCCTGCCGCCTTATCATCAATAATTGATAATATGTTGAAACAAGGCTTTGTTCTTGTTGTTATGGTTGGTAATGGTCTTAACCCATCGAAAGGTCTTAATCCTACTCCAACCCTTAATGCTGGAGGATGGGTGTTTACACTACTGCTAAGCTAACTAATTAAATTCAGTTAATCTTTCATGTTTAATTTGTATAGTAATAATTATTAGTCTTCACCCATCAAAAGGTCTTACTCCTACTCCAACCCTTAATGCTGGAGGATGGGTGTTTACACTACTGCTAAGCTAATTAATTGAATTCGGTTAATCTTTCATGTTTAATTTGTATAGTATTAATTATTAGTCTTCACCCATCAAAAGGTCTTACTCCTACTCCAACTCTTAATGCTGGAGGATGGGTGTTTACACTACTGTTAAGCTAACTAATTAAATTCAGTTAATCTTTCATGTTTAATTTGTATAGTATTTGATAGTCATCACCCATCGAAAGGTCTTACTCCTACTCCAACTCTTAATGCTGGAGGATGGGTGATTATGAGTTGCTATAATATATACTACCTTAATAGAAATAAGTTGTACGTCGGTTTTGTTCAATGTTGTGAAGTGGTAGCGGGTTTCCCTTAAAAGGTCCCACTCCTACTCTAGTTCCTTCTTACTGCTGAAGGATGGGCGAATAAAAGTTACTGAACTTCAATTATTTTAGATGTTTGCATTCAACATGGAAACGTAAGAAAAAGAAAAAGATTACTATACACGAAGCTTAGTAAAGAAATCTTGTTTACTATATGTTCCCGCCATTATCGAATTATGTAAATATTTGACCTACGCTACGCGGGCAAAATTAGTATAAAAGGACCATGAGGTTGGCATATGGACAACCATGTCCGACGTTAACTCATCTGTAACCTCCGCTCTAAAGGCCATCCTAAGCGAGTCCGAAAATGTTGATTCTCACCTATCCACCGCCCTCATGTCTCTCGGTTCGGCCATTAACCAATTGAACACCAAGCAGGAAAAGGTGGAAAAGGAATTAGAGTTGGTCCGAAGAATGACGAGGACCAACTGGTTAATGGTAAGTTTGTGGTTTTCTAAGTTTATTTAGTTTAATCCTCTTTTGTTTAGGTCATAAACATGCCGATACCATTCGGCTTGTCTAAAGGTCAAGCGCTTCAGAACCTACTATCAGATCTGGATTACAAGAAGCCCTTGTTTGATAGCGAACGTGACCTGTTAGCAAGCGACATTTTATATGTCAACCGTAACGGGTTGATATGTAATATGGCTGTAAGTGAAATGGCTATCCAAGTTTGTACTCAATGTCTTGTTTAGTTCTTTGTCGCCCAAAGGCACTACGAGTTTATGATGGGTGCTAATTTCCAAAAGAAGATTGTACTCCACAACCAGAAGCTCCCCAAAGGTTAGCCTACTTTAAGTCCTTATCAATAAACACATAGACTAGTGCGTGAAAGTCCAAGTACTAAGTAAGAACAAAAAGAGTTGTAAGTAAGGTGACATTGTGCTTGATACGGTACTTGTCTGTCAATCAGAAATGTATGCTTATAAGCTATATTACCCAAGCCTGCTTCTAATCTGGCAATAGCAATCGCTAGGTTGCACTTATCTGGTATGCGCGACATAGTAAGTATACTGTCATACTGCCCCTAGCCGCTTATCATATCTAAGACATCGATCAACTTCAGTGACCCGCTGATCAATAAATCAATGCATATTGGTAAACCTAATTATTGTTTATGTTCCTATTTTGAAAAAAAAATGGGGTATAAGCCGCGTGTATTGGAGCTGTGGCTACGGGTAATGAAAAAATTAGGTTCTGTAAAAATAGCGCAAAATATGGGGAATTGTCTCGCATTTACCCGATAGCATACCTCCATAACATAATTTGTGTCCAAAAACATGTAAACGTGCTAGAATGCGAGAATAAGTAATGTAAAGTACTACATATAATCGAACTGATTTGAATGCGCCTATATTGTGCTTATAGTCCAACAAAGAGTATGGAAGTCTAAAAGGGGAGGCGCTCGGCTTACTTTGATTAATTAGCAATAGGATGTACAATAACGATACGTAACCGTTTACGTAAGTGCGATAGGCCAACTCTAATGGCTGTTGCTCTAACCAATGGATAACGTAAAATGTGCCACATCTGTGCTAGTTTGATGACCCTGTGTTTCGAGGAAGGGGGAGGGTGGGGAGGTGCATGGTGTTAGTTTTGGAAAGGTAGTATAGGATATGTAAGATTGAGCAGGCTATCATTCAAAAAGGCAAAACCTTCCTATGTATGAAACATGGATGCGTGACTGAAATGCTTAGAAGTGGCAAATAATGTAAACTACCATTTAGTGCAAGAAGACCTGTAGGTAGGTCCATGTTGTGTGGCGTACCAGCATGCCCACATGAATAGCATTGTGACATTGTGACATAACTGCAAGCGAAGTACTAAACTATCAAGGTTTGCGAGGAACATCAGCTATGCAAAATAGCGCAGGGTACGAAGGAATGTAACCGAACTGCTACCCCCTAGACTAGGAATTCTAAGCGGATATTGCCTAGATGCTTATGGGAGATACATGACAACCGCACCCAACTGAGAATATCCATAGGTGAAGACTGATTCTTCTCGATAGTGATCACTATACAACAAGCAGAAATCAAATGACAAATAAAGAAAATCAAAGTGTAAAACAGTAACTACAGAAGTTGAACACGCTTACTTCGTCCTCATGGTGCAAGAAAGGGTGTGGTTGTCACCGTAAGTAGGGATAGGTCGACCATAATGTTGGCTTCAATGCTATTTCCTATAAAGTCAAGACGTTCATATTTCATTTAATACGATGAGAGGAATGGGAAAGGGTGCAACTCCAATATTATAGCAGCACTGATAGGAGGATAGGAGCTGGGATTGAAACTGTGTGAATTAGCTACGCCAAAGCTAAAGAGATCACATACATTAAGTTAGATTGAACAAACTGCTATGCATCAAATCTGTTTTGATTATGAGCTACTATGATGAACTTTTGTAAGCAAGCAGCAATCTAAAATATATCATAGTGAAAAGGTTAAATATAATGCCTGATGTGTATACTATTAACTGATAAGTTAGCTTAGAGTTTGGAACTGACTACATACGAGAATTTTGAAGAAAACGATGTATCACATACACTCCGTGAAATCTGGTGTGTCTATATTACGCAATTGCACAAAATTACACGGCTAGTGTATGCTATACTCTTTGCAAAAGGAAAATAGTGCGTTGTAAACTAATATTGGAAAGGGAATGCTTTAGTCAAAGGGAGTAGGTAGCTTGAACAAAAGAACAACTGTAAATTGTTTTTAGATGATACTACTACCCAAGACTATGACTAGTTGAAACAATGACGCAAATGCCGCAACTTTGACATCAGGCAACATTAGGACTAGTCTACTTTCAGGCATTTGCTAGGTTAGAACGAACTACACTTTTGTTACCAAAAAGAAATAAGTTTGATGTAAGGACGGGAAAAGTCCAAGAACAAGGAGAAAAAGATCAGAAACAAAAAGAAAACAGCGCATAGTCCCAAAATCCTATTATTAGAGATGCCGTAAATCATAGTGTGTATTCATTTCGCAATCTCACACAATATCGAGTTTTGGCGTAGCGTAATTCCCACCGTAATCTGAGAGTTCAGCGAATGTAAATCGTTCTAAAGGGACTCTGTATCCGTTGAGACTATTACTAAACAGACAATGTCACCAGTCAAGTAGACTAAACATCAGTAGAGGTGTATCCCATCAAAACTACTGAGTTGACCGCCGCAACTTCGCAAAACCAAACGAAACTCTACAGGTCGTTATTAACTGGTGTTCACTCTAATGAAAGATTGCAATAACTATTGCGCTAGAATACGTATTCTCCAACCCCATTCCATACGCAAAAGTTGCTATTGAATAGTGGACTAACTGAACAGTATTCAGTTGAGGTAGAATCAATATCATACCATCTTACTCGAACTTGGTTTTTCTAGAAAGGTGGATTTCCATTGGCCGCGTTCTCACACCTAACGAAAGAAATGATTACGACATGGCGTGTGCCTTGAAAAGGCTCATAATTGCTGAAATGAATCAACGCAGAAAGGCGGATCCTAAATATCCCGTCATGTTCGTTTTAGTTTGTAAACGGACATTGAGACTAAGGATTGAAAAACAGGTAGGTTATAGTCAATTAGCTAGGGTAATATCACTTATGTTTTACTGTTCCAGTATTTCACCTTGGAGGAGGCTGCTGCACGTTACTCCATACCAGTGGAAGCAATAGTGGAGGAAAGGAATCGTAATGGAAATGCTCATTCTTCCGAAGTGCGTAGTACCGGAAAACGTCCTGCTTCTACTGACAATTCCGCTGAGGGGCCCTCAGCAAAAACCGCCAAGCACTAATTTACATCTGACAACAACTCATTCATTTTATGTAAAAATCAGAAAGTTATGAGTTGGAATAAAAGTTTGATCATGGTTTATGTGTCAAATACTTTCAAAAGAGTTCTACCCTACATGCAAATTGGCACGTAGATTCTGGTCCAGTGTCGGGAGTGGGCATAGCCTCACATCACCGCACTTACCCAGTCTACACATAGAAAGACTAGTAATAACAAATTATTATCAGTACATTAACCTTCATGATAAAGAAGAGAGATCAATTATTTTCCACACATAACCGGTTTCGGGGCTAAGAACTAGACCGGATATGTGACTTCCTTGGTGCCCCTTCATCAGTAGTTCCCAAGGAAGTGCAAAAGAATGTAGGATGGATGAGTATTAGAGAGAATAAGGTAACAGCCACACAGCAAGTCCAATCAAGTAACAATAATCAGTCAAGAAAGTATCCACTAGTACATTTTGAATTTAAAATTTTCCCGCTCAAAAGATCACTGGTTTGTAGAGCATACTAACTAATACCAAACTAACTCGCCTATTTTATGGGATTAAAGCGAACAGATGGATAGAAGTCCGACTGGTATTGCATTCGGTGTGTAAATCTAGCTGTCTATATTACAAAAGAACTGAAGGCTTCCCTTAGTTCGTGAACTAACGGTAAGAAAAGCTCCGAAGCGAACTATGGCGAAGCGGTTCCGGCACGTTTTTGCTGGGTGCATGCGCCCAATCTGACTTAGAGGACCAAATAGGCGCAAAGAATAGATCAGCTCATTTTTATGTGATGATATGGGAACCAATATATATGTTTCTGAAGAGCTTATAGCGTGTAGATTTCGAATGTATAAAAATTGTAGTGTTTGGTGAGGTTCAGGAAACGATTAAAAATCTCTTGTGATTCTGCACTTTTCAGTTTATCTCAGTGCATTGGATCTCCCAGAAAGCACACACAGGCATGCAATTCTCAATTAACAAAGCATCTTTGCCACTGTACAAAAAATGCGGCACGTTACTATGCCCATTCTTGAGATATGGTCTTTCGAAAGTAGTCTTGAAATTTAGTTCAAAGCATGAGAACCCGATCTGAGCTCATACATCTTGCAAGAAAAGCCGCACAAGTGGGTAATTTAAAACAAGCCTTCTAGGAAACTTGTTGCTTTATCTACCGGTGTTGAATGATTTGCCCATAAATGCAGATTTTTAGAGCTACGTATTTCCAAAGACTGAACTTTTCGCTCATTAACACATTGACGACCGCTTGACACACATGGTGTGTCAAGCAATGACTACCGTGTGGGACCGCTTGACACACCATGTGTGTCAAGGCTTGAAATTACTTCAAATGGCTACTATCCTAGAATAAACTCACTCCATGAGCTTTCTTTTACACTAATCTGGGGATGACCTCTATCTTTTTTGTTAGCCTTTCGGATTTACTGTAGGTTTTACTGTAGATGGCAGGATGCGTAATTATAGCCGAAAAATGTGGGTTTTTCCGCAACAGGCCTTGGTCCCTGAAGGCAAACAACTAAAAATCTGCATGGTCGTCAATGTGTTAAAATTTGTTTTCTATTAAGAATGAAAAACTTCTAGACTTCCAGAACTTCATGAGAAATAAGGAGCAAGGTCCCTCCATAGTAAGCAATGGCTTACACCAACAAATCTAATCAACGGCGAGCTACGCAGCGATTTATAAGCCAAAGCCCCAAGAGCGTGAAAGTTTGCCATGACTTTATCGGAAAAATGAAAAATTCGTGTTTCGAAAGTTAAATTATGGTATAAATAGTGTAAAGGACGCTAATTCCGATTATATGTCTCCCTTTGCTTGAAAGTGACTTTCAAGAGAGTTATGCTGCTGCGGCGTTTCCGGCGCGATATCTTGCTTAGTCCGCTGTTTTCAGCGGTAGCGCCGACGGTACTGTACGTTTGCGTGTGTTCAGTAAACTTACTTACTTAGATACTCAGATACTTAGATGGCCCGTCCTCACGTGACGTGCGGGCCTCAGTACAGAAGTCGCCAGTTTTCCCTGTCCCTCGCTTCAGACATCCACGATCTTCTTGGCCGTCGTCGGTGGCTGCGTCCACGAGTTCCAGGGGCGAAAGTCGCATCCAGCTGATTTCTCAGCTGGTCCATCCGTTCCACGAACACGTCTGCCCATCTCGTCGGTGGTCTTCCTCGAGGACGTTTAACTTCGCGAGGAATCCACTCCGATGTTCTTAGTGTCCATCTGTCGTCTGTTCTTCTCATTATGTGACCGGCCCATCGGTGTTTGGCTTTCGCGACGTATTCCGCTGGGTCACGAAGACGGGACATTTTTCTCATATCCGTGCTGCGAAGTCCGACTAGATGTTGCTTGCGTCGGGTCATCTTCAGAAGACTGCGCTCGAGCGCTCTGTGGATGGTCCGTAAAGCTTTCGACGTGGCTACAGTGTCGGCCCAAGTCTCAGCTGCGTAACAGAGCGCCGGGAGAACGGTTGAATCGAACAGGTGGGCACGAAGCTTCGGGTCCGTCAGTTGGTCGGTGGCTTCCTTCAGAGGCCCGAAGGCGGCCCAGGCTGCTCTTCTTCTCCTGTTAAGTTCTTCCCTCAAGTCGTTCTCCATGTTCGTCGAACGTCCGAGATACACGTAGGAAGACGTCTCCATAATCGGGGTGCCTTCCAATTCCATTTCTGCATCTTCGCAAAGGGCGTTCTTCATGAACTGAGTCTTCTTCCGATTTATTCGCAGTCCGATCTTTTTCCCTACTTCGTTTAGTTCCTTCAGCATCGTCTCTGCTTCGGTGATACTGCTCGAGAAGAGAACGATGTCGTCCGCAAAACGAAGGTTGGACAAGAATCTCCCATCAACTCGTATGCCTCTCTCGTCCCAGTCCAGTGACTTCATCACCCACTGCAAGGCTGCGGTGAACAGCTTCGGCGAGATTGTGTCGCCTTGTCGGACCCCCTTCCCGATGTATGGTCAGGGGGCGATGGAATAGCTGCATCGTCGTTGTACAGTCCTTGTAGCAGTCGGCTAACGTCCTCACGTAAGCTGGGTCCACTCCTTGATCGACTAGCGCAGGCAGGATGGCGTTGGTTTCGACGCTGTCAAAGGCTTTCTCGTAGTCGACAAAGGTTATAACGAGAGGCAGTCGGTACTCCCGGCAGACTTTATGACCCTCGAAACGGTCTGGATGTGGTCCATGCAGCTGAATCCTTTGCGAAATCCAGCTTGTTCTTGGGGTTGGGCTTCATCCAGTGTCCTTGATATGCGAGCGAGGATAATCTTCGTGAAAAGCTTGTACAGCACACTCAGCAAGCATATTGGACGGTAGTTCCGAAGATCCTCCCGTTCACCCTTCTTGAAGAGAAGGACGGTTCTTGACGTTCTCTACTGGTCGGGAATCTTCTCCGTCTGAAGGTAAGATGTCAAATGCGACGCTAGAATCTCGTGTAGACGGTGTCCTCCGGCTCGCAGAAGTTCGACGGAAACATGATCTGGTCCTGGAGCCGTGGACGTCTTCATGGTCTGTATCGCGATACGCACTTCAGCAGGTAGAATTCGTGGTGGTACTTCTCCAGTGGGAACAACGGGCATCTGCACGGGTGTTGATGAGCGGAAGAGGTTGGTGTAGAAGTTCTTCGCGATAGATTCCATCTTGTATCGGGAAGAAGTCGGAGTCCCGTCTTCGTTCAGTAGTGCAGCCAGCGGTACGTGATATTCGCAGAGGTCCCTTCGGCACTTCTTGAGACTTCGTCTTCTTTCGGCTGCTTCCAGTATCTTGGCTTGCCTGTACTTCCTGAGATCCTCTTGCAAAGCTGTTCTGCAACTGGCGTTGGCTATCAGTCGCTCGAGATGAGTTGCATTCGGAACCTGCCTCAATGATTTTCTTCTTTCGAGCAATTCCTTGGTGGTCTTCGAGATGCGGTCCAAGTTCTTCTCAGAAGTCACTGAGGCGCATTCTCCGCAGGCTCGCAATCCTTTCAGAAGCCGGTCGTAGTCGTACGTTGGGTCCTCCTCGATGGGCCAGTCACAACTTGATATGAGCTCTTCCAGCCTGTTATTGTCATAAATGACTTCCTTCCTTCTCGCGGCACTATGACAGACTTTCTTTTCCAACCTTCGGCTGAGTCGTATCATCGCTCGAAGGAGGCGGTGATCGGAGCCACTACAGAAGGATGGAACTACAGAGACATCGAGTAAGCTCCACCTTTGGTTGGTGAGAATGTGGTCGATCTCAGGATGAGTCGTTCCGATGGGCGATTCCCAAGTCCACCGGCGATATTCTTTCTTCATGAAGATGGAGTTTCCATGGAAGAGTCGCGGCGGAGAGGAGCCCAACGAGACGGTTGCCGTTTTCGTTTCGGAGCCCATATCCAAACTTCCCGATCCTATATTTTTTTTCTAGTGGCATCTCGATTTTCGCACTGAAGTCGCCCACAACATACTTGTAGAAGGACATTTCGTTGCGGACGACCTCCTCCACGTCTTCGTAGAAAGCATCTAGTTCTGAGTCGTCAGCTGCTGATGTTGGCGAGTAGCAGTTGATGATGTTGATGGTCTTCTGACGTGGATGGCGTAGTCGTAGGATGCCTAGTCGAGGTGATAGGATCTTGTGCGAATCGACAAGATGGACGATAGATGGATGGACGACAAAGCCGACGCCTCCCACGTTTCGTGATGGAACCTTTTCACCACGAATGATGAGGGTCCCATCACTCATCTGTCGCACGTCCTTCTTCCTGGACTTCGTTTCCTGCAGAGCGATGATGTGGTAGTTGATATGCTCTGCAGCGTCGAGAAGAGCGTGGAGGTCGGCGTTTGTGGAGACTGTCCTGGCGTTGTAGGTGCAGAGCATGAGGCAGTCTCCATGGCATGTCGTCCGGGCAGACATGTCGTTTTTGTCCAATCCGAAAGGCGCCCTGAGTACCCTGACATCGTTCTTGCTACCACCCGGCGCAGTAGGCGGGATACGATGTGCAGGGTTTCTTTCTAATCTTCTAACTGGAGGAGTAATATGAATTTT